CCAGAAGGTATTTGCGAAATAGATGTGTCTTTAGATCGGTTTTAAAGGACTCCAGTGTCTGGTTGTTTCTAAGATCGACAGGAAGGGCGTTCCAAATTGTTGGACCAGCAAATGCGAAAGTGCGCTTTCCGTAAGTCTCAAGGCAAACACGTGGTGTCGAGATTTTGCCACTATCGGATGACCGGAGCTCTCTACTGGGTACATAAGGCGTCAGCAGCTCGTTAAAATAGGACGGCGCCAGGTCATGTAAGCAACGGTAGCACAAAGTTGCGATTTTGTACTCTATGCGAGCACGCACCGGCAGCCAATGCAACTCTCTCAGAAGTGTTTTTGCATGGTCGAATTTGCGTTTGCGGAGAACTATGCGAGCCGCATTATTCTGTGCTATTTGAATTTTATCCAGGAGCGTAGCTGGAAGACCCACCATGAGAGCATTGCAATAGTCCATGCGTGATAGCACATACTACAACGTTTGTGACTGTGCTCCAAAGACAGCTCAAGCAAGCGGACCAGTGGTGTGTGCAATGAAGCAGGCCGTTGTTGGCAGAAATTCTCATACAGAAGGGGAGTTCCCAAGGAAACCGGTAGTAAATGAATGGTGCATAGGACTTAAAATTATTAGGACAAATAGACTGAGAGTGTCCACAAAAACCATGTTATTTCTTCTTTATTCCAGAGATCAGACTGATGAGAACCATCGCTAATGGTGTGTGCGTTCTACCGGAGATTTGGGGAGACAATGGTTAATGGTTTGTCGAATCGGCTGTTCAAGACCATGCCCACCCCCAACCCCCCTACACGCACACCACACTTTAACTCTAATGCTATGGGCCCAGCTGACGAAAGAGACGCGATGACCAGGGGGAAGGTATTGGTAATGACGAGGACAACGGAAGATGTCATATTCTTTAAACCTCATCAACTCGATGTGTCTTAACAAATGATGGGGAGTTCAATAGTGCTGTAAACACCGCCACGCTTTAACATTAAGTGTTTGTTGATTTTGGAATCAGATATTTCGTTGGCGAGCTGGAACGTCAATTGACCAATGGGGGTGTTAACTGAATGGGGTTGTTAAGTGAATGGGGGTGTTAACTGAACGGGGTGTTAACTGAATGGGGTGTTAACTGAATTGGGGTGTTAATTGAATGGGGGTGTTAACTGAATTGGGGTGTTAACTGAATGAGGGTGTTAACTGAATGGGGGTGTTAACTGAATGAGGGTGTTTACTGAATGAGGGTGTTAACTGAATGGGGGTGTTAACTGAATGGGGGTGTTAACTGAATGGGGGTGTTAACTGAATGGGGGTGTTAACTGAATGGGGGTGTTAACTGAATGAGGGTGTTAACTGAATGGGGGTGTTAACTGAATGGGGGTGTTAACTGAATGGGGGTGTTAACTGAATGGGGGTGTGAACTGAATGGGGGT